TAAAAGGTTATAGAGGAGAAGTTGGGTATGGTGAACCTGGAGATACTGGACCGATGGGTAAGTAATAAGTCTTGTTGATGCATAAAATTACAATATATTGGAAATTGAATGATTGATACAGAAAAAAAGATCGATTCTAGTATTTTGTTGATAATATTTTCTTTCTGGTCCCATAGGAGTTTTAGACTATCCTCAGACCTGTAGGCGTATCAGAAGAAATAAGTCTTTAATACAATATATTAAGAATTGAATGATTGCTACAGAAATAAACACCGATTTGATTTTTTTTATATTTTCATTCTGGTTCCTAGGAGTCCAAGGAGAGCCCGGAACACCAGGAGAATCGGGAGAAAGAGGACCCCAAGGACCACCAGGAGAATCAGGAGACAGAGGTCTAAAAGGTGATAGAGGAGAAGTTGGGTATGGTGAACCTGGAGACCCTGGACCGATGGGTAAGTAATAAATCTTGTTGATGCCTTAGATTAGAATATATTGGAAACTGAATGATTGATACAGAAATAAAGACCTATTCGAGTAACTTGTTGAAAATATTTTCTTTCTGGTCCCATAGGAGTCCAAGGAGATCCTGGACCAATAGGCGAAACGGGAGAAAGAGGTCCAAAAGGTGAAAGGGGAGAAGTTGGGTATGGTGAACCAGGAGACCCTGGACCGATGGGTAAGTAATAAGTCTTGTTGATGACCTGACATTACAATATATTGGAAACTGAATGATTGATACATCTATTAAAGAAGAACTCGAGTTTCTTGTCGATTATATTTTCTTTTTGGCCCTATAGGAGTATCAGGAGATCTCGGACCACCTGGAGAATCAGGAGAAAGAGGTCCACAAGGCCCACCAGGAGAATTGGGAGAAAAAGGTCCAAAAGGTGATGGAGGAGACCCTGGACCGATGGGTAAGTAATAAGTTTTGTTGATGGCCTAAGATTACAATATATTGGAAACTGAATGATTGATACAGAAAGAAAGACCTATTCGAGTAACTTGTTGATAATAATTTCATTCTGGTCACATACCGTCTTCATTAGCCCACATGGTGCAGAAAAGTAGGACGTAAATCTCTATTCATTTCATTTCTGGTCCCATAGGAGTCCAAGGAGACCCTGGACCAAAAGGCGAAACGGGAGAAAGAGGTCCAAAAGGTGAAGTTGGCTATGGTGAACCAGGAGACCCAGGATCGATCGGTAAGTAATAAGTATATAATATATACAATATACAATATATGGAAAACTGAATTATTGATACATCAATTAAAGAAAAGTTTGGGTTTCTTGTCGATTATAATTTCTATTTGGTCCTATAGGAGTACCAGGAGACCCTGGACCGATGGGTAAGTAATAAGTCTTGTTGATGACCTGA